ACTTTGCACATATGGCGTTCGTGACCAACTATAAAACGCTTACCCCCCATAGTGTTATATATCAAAATGTACCTGTTCATATAGGGGTTTGATTGATCTACATCAAATTATAGGGAGTCAGGTTACTTTTTGAGATATCAGCGTCCATTTATTGTGACTCGCGTTTGCTACCACTTCCTCAATTCTGATATGACGGGCAAACGCGTAGTAAACACCTTCACGTCGGAACTATTTTTGACCTACATCGCTATTTTCGTAATTCAAATGAAAGTTGAACTCCTCCTCTTTATTTTGATACCAAATAGTGGCATACTAGGTACCCTAGAAGCAAACTATGGCGTTATTTAGAACAATACCACGAGTTTTTAAATGGACTATATAGGGGTCATACCTTTTGGCGGATGGATATGGAACCTCATACCATAAATGTCAAAATAATGTCAACTAAACGACAGTTAAGCCTGTACTCCAGTAAGTACTCCACTTAACTTTGATTGGGAGGTGCATAATAAAACAAATACTGGATGATCAGGAGCTGGATATGGCCAGAATACCTATCCTCGAAAAAATATTGGGCTCGGCTACCGCCTCGCCCAATATTTTTTCTCGAATAGGTATTCTGCCATATCCAGCTCCTGATCATCCAGTATTTGTTTAATACCATTGGTCTTCATTGATTAAGAAGGTCAGGCGCAGCATGAAAAAATGGAATTATTTATTTTTGTACAAACATTGAGATGACACAGGATAAATTTCAAATAGTTGCATACTGGTATATATCAAAATTTTGAATGCTGCATGACAAATCGAGACAAAATGAATATTTGGTTCAATCATGGGCTTTCAACAACTTTCTCTTGAAAGACCATGGTTCAATATAGGCAATATACGACTTCATAAAATAACATTTCATATTGTTTAATACGGACCCCAACACATTGAGTACATTGAGCTAAACAAATATAAACATAAACACGGAAATGATATTTCTTAAAAAAGAATCAGGATTCAAGATAAGTATATCGTTGTCAGTTGTGATACGTTTATGATAAACTACCAAGCCAAACCATGATAAGATGATTTCATTACATTTCCAAGTTTATTTCTAATAATCAATGAATACTTCATCCTTGTGGCCAGCAATTGACAACTTTAGATTTATTAACCACATTAGTTTAGACAGTGTATAAAAAATGATTTTGGATAAGTTATACATATGACTACGTGTCCAGAGAAAAATTCTTTCTCAAAATGGGAAAACTGTCTTGTCGTATGCAGACAAAGGGTCAATTTATCTACGTCCAACTACAGGTCCCTGTGACCCCCGCCACAAAAACAAGTGTGAAAAGGTATGTTATCAAGTAGAGCCCCCCCCCCCCTTCTACTTGACCCCCGGACCCCGGGGTCACAGAGGCGTGTAGCTAATTACATACGTCAGCAGTGTCGATGCATTTTGGATTTCATATTGACAAAAACAGATATGTTATTTTTTTCGAGATCAAAGGTAAACATTGTGGTCCTTAACAGATAAAACAAATTAACGTCATTGTCAATATGTGAACCGGATATTAATACGTTAATTTTGATACGTCCAATCATGGGCTTTCAAGTTGAAAGTCCATGGTGCAATACACGGGAAACATATTTGCTATTTTGTTTCTCTTGTCTATTTTTACAAGTCAGCCAATCGGCACGATTCCAGCTACTTTAGTTCCTTGTTCCTTTTAAGAGGTGATTAAGACCCGTATTCTCTATCATACATCAAACGGTATCATTTTTTCCCCTTTCCTTTTTTCCATGATATTTGTGCTGGGGAACTATAGTCTAACAAACCGGTTACTGGACATGAAACGGGGTGTTGTAAATTGATGCCCCTCGCGGGAATCCGCTCCAGAATCCGAAGCTCTACCCTGAGTCATAAGGGACAGCCACTACAGCTAATACTGTAATAGCAGCTGTTATGAGTATTACATCTGAATTAAAAACATATGTTTTTATGTTTTACCAGAATTTTTAATTACTTCAATGTCGTAATCAGCTGTCCACATGGGGGGATGTTCTTTTCGGGGAAAGTTTCAACATAGAAGTATACAGTATATCATCTTTCACAATTTTGCGCAATGCAAATATTGTTCAAGTGCTTGTTTTTTCGGAATGATGCCACGTCCTATTCCACCATTTTATTTTTTCGACGAATACCTCACTTATACCAACATAGAGCTATGAAGGGGCTCCCCAAGAGGTGTGTGGAAAGTTCCAACAATCTTTGTTGAGTGAAGAAAGAAACCAGTGTTTTTGACCCATACATGTTTTCTTTATTTTTAACTGTCACATGTTAATATCAAAGCGTTTTATTTTATATATTTTTATAGATTAATCAAATTGACCAATTTTCTTTTCAAAATCATCTACATGCTCTCAGATGTTTAAATATGACTTAAGATTTCAAATCTGACTTTAGATTAGAGATTTGACCTTTAATGACCTTCTTAAGGTGAAAAAATCATCTACACATTCTCAGAAGTTTCTCATTCTCATTTCAAGATTCTCATTCTCAAAACTTTACTTTCAATGACCTTCTCAAGGTCCAAGAGGTCTTTTTTCAACTTGCTTCGAATTGACCAGATTTTTTTTCAAAATCATCTACACGTTCTCAGAAATTCAAATCTGATTTTTAGCTTTTAAGACTTGAGCGTCAATGACCTTCTCGAGGTAAAAAAGTTCAAAACGGTATTTTTTAAACTTGCCTCAAATTGACCAATTGGTTTGAAAAATCATCAAAAAGTTTTCCGAAATTCAAATCTGACTTAGGATTGGACTAATAATATTGTGAGCATCTAGGTTGTGACATTTTTTCATGACAATGCCTTGTTTTATAAATAGTCGAAAAATAAATCCCTGATTGTCGCTGAATTTGTCTAAAACGTGGGAGCCCCAATAAAGGCTTATATAAAATGGAAAATACTAAAAAACTATAAATAGCATACGTCGATAAAACGAGATTACTTAGTTTTAGAACACCGAAGTGCACTACACAAAGTTATCATCATTAAACGAAGATTTCGTCTAAAAATGCCTCAGAATTTTAATAACAGATGTGTAATAATCACGGGATCGAGTAACGGTATCGGTAGGGGAGCAGCTATAGAGTTCGCCAAATGCGGGGCGAGCGTATTAATCCATGGACGTGATGAAGAAGCGATCCAAAATACGGTTCAGATGTGTAAAGACGCCGCATGTGACAAAATTGCTAAGTTTCCAAGTGTATATGGGGATATTACGGATGAGGGAACATTGAAGACTGTCGTAGATACAGCAATGGCAGAATTCGGGAAGATCGACGTGCTTGTTAATAACGCAGGAGGTGGGACAGTTGGAGCGACAATTACTGGATCGGGAATGGAATCGTATGATGAACAAATGGATCTCTCGTTAAGGGCACCCGTGAGGCTGTCTCAGTTATGCTTTCCAGAGCTTCAAAAGGCACATGGGAACATTTTAAACATTTCTGCAGTATCAGGGGTGAGACCATCACCGCGGCTTCCATTTTACGCTATTGCAAAGGCGGCGTTGAATATGTTCACGCAATGCGCGGCGCTAGAGATGGGACCGAAGGGCGTGAGAGTCAACGCGCTGGCGCCACATATCGTACCGACTATGATACACGAACGCTCGGGGCTTATAAAACCGGGGGATGACAAATCAGCGTTCTATGAGCGAGGTTCAAAGGGCGTTCCCCTAAAAAGGCTTGGAACAGTCGACGATTGTGCAAAGATGATTACGTTCTTGACGTCAGACGCGTCGTGTAGGCTATGATGAATGGTGAAGTCATTGTAAATGATGGCGGACGCTCATTGATGGGTTTCTGATATAAATTTAACATTTCATAAACTTCGATATATACGTTCACGTAAGACACTGTTTATTTTCAGGATGTGTCTTTTATTATGTGTCTCTTGTATTTTCAGACAAGGTGTATTTTCAGGATGTGGCATGTATATGAAGGCACATTGTAATGTGAAATCACTACAAAACCAGAACTCTTTACCCAAGTCTTACTATGTTATGCTTCGGTTGTGCTCCCTGGTAATTGGAGGGTTAAGATCTAAATTCTATTTTTCAAAATATAGTTTATTTCATTGTATATGTACATCTCTTGTATATAAAGAGTATGTATTACACTGCAAGTAATTACAATTTGTACAATTTTATTATGTTGATAACCGCCTATAAATAATAATAATTTAAACAGATAATAGTAGGCTATTGTTTGATGTTCATTTTCCTTGAATAGCTAATCTTGGAATCTAGCCAACTGGGTATAGTATATGTAGGTCTATCCAGGCCTAACTGTAAGGGTAAATGTGTTCACCCCGGTGTTCACAATGAGACGAGGTCCAAAGGCAGGCCCTAATAGGTAAGGACCTTTCTTACTGTGAGGTAAATAGCCTTTTTCGCGGGCGTGGTTGACATAGTCAAGTTTGAGGCAGGCAAACTTGAGCCTCATTCATAGTAGGCCTATTGCTTTTTAACTAGATGTTTGCCTCGGCTTATCAACTATTTGCCTCGCTTATTTTTATATCCAGACTTAATTAATGATTTATTTATCATGATGATTAGGGGATTCAAATATTTTGTACAGAAACGCCTAACCATCGACAAGGCACAGTGACAAAATATACCGTAGTACACTCTAGATGTACGATGTCACTATTTAACTGATTTGAAGCAAAGACAATGATGTAGGTTTGATGTAGGTCTTAAAAATAATCTGAGGAATACTGACTACGAAAAAAATCGAGCACTGTTCGAAAATCTTTTAACGTAGGCTTAATTAGAAAGTTAAATGTCTTCCAAAACGAAGACACAAAAAATCAATCGAGAAATCCCTAATGTTTTCCTCAGATTATTTTTTTAAAACCTACATCAAACCTACATCATTGTCTTTGCTTTAAATCGGTTAAATAGTGACATCGCACATCTAAAGTGTACTACGGTATATTTTGTCACTGTACCTTGTCGATGGTTAGGCGTGACAGATAGTATACACAATCATCAAGTAAAATACATCACTATTGTTAGTAGGCACATAAGTGAAACGCGATTAATTGACGAAGCGTCATTGACACAAGGTAATTGTGACGTCATATGTGATTGTGGAAAGTCTGTTGTGACGTCAGAGGCGTCTCTTGTTATGATACGTTTCTGGGTTGACGGGTAGAGGTTGTTTGTTTTCTTTAGATACTGCAGGAAAACGTCGGTGTCTAGTAACCCTGGAACAAATTAGTGTGCATTATTTTAGTTATTTTGAAAAACATCGATTTTTTGTCCGTATTGAGCATACATATTACACGTTTTGAGTACACATATACTGATATGTTTGTTATTGTTGGTCAAGTGAGCAAATTGGTTGCTATGGTGACCTAGAGAAGACGTTGAAACGTTTCACTCTTAATGTTTTTTCTACAAGTTTGGAAGACACGTGCTGAAAATATGCGAGTTCTGTAGTTTTGACCATGACATTTTCAACAAACAAATAGTGACTCTTGATGATCTAGTTTGATATGACATGCACTAGCCAAAAAACAAACCTAAATTCCGATGATCTAGCTTGTTATCTCGTATAATGAAGTATCCATCGCCCCCATTGGCAATGTACGACGGCATGATGACGTTGTACACTTTAACTGGATCTATGGGTAAAAGGACGGGATCCAGGCAATCTGAACAAAGAACCTCCAGTTTCTCTACGCGGCTTCCAATAGGCTTAGTGATATCATACACGACGTGAAAACCTGAATTAAAAATTTCGTTACTTTTTAATTTATGATTTTGATCAAAATGAATGTAACATTTATCATGGTCCATGCATTTATAGAGGTTATCGAAAGTAGCTATGACCACAGAGGGAGTATTGGTCACACAATACTATTAAAAGAATATGTTGTTTCCTAGCATGCCCCATCGGTCTGTCAACTAGTGGCGTGACTAGTTGATTCGATAATTTTCATTGGCTGAAGGGCGATTGAAATATTTAAAAAAGATGGCACTACTGCATGCAATCTGAAGAGACTGAATTACTATAAAATTCTATCACTGCTGCCACCTTTATATTGGCCTAAAAGTAACCTGTGATTATAATTCGTTATTCAATCCAGAGGTGGGAACATCCCAGAATTCATAGACGAACCTACTTCCAGGTACAGTTTCTCATGATTCATGGGTTTACATGGAAAGGTTCATCTTTGGACTCTGGGGTATTTCCTCCTCTTGTATACTCCCCGTCACTCACCTGAGAGTTGTAGAAATCTACCAGTACCACTACTCTCGGTAAGGCGGCTAGCGGAATGCTCGAAGGTTTGACGCAATATGTCCCCGGTGAGGGCCACCATGTCTATAAGGTTCTGGAATGGCATCACGGTGAGTATATGCTCCATTGTTACATCTAAAATTGAATTTAACAAACAACTTGTAAAATACGATTTTACCAGGGGGGGGGGGGGTGGGCTTTTTGACAGTTTTAATCTGTATGTGAAAAGTGCTCAGAACAGAATGGTAAAAAAACTTCTACCCCAGCTCCGTCCACTTGGCTACGAGCCTGTACATTGTCTATGCTAAACAAATGCGTTGTTATTCACATTACTAGCTGCTATCTACGTTACGTTAGGCTAGGCTCTGGGCTCTCCATGTGTTTTATTACGTATTTTCTTACAAAAAATTATTGGTAAATATTTATTCATTGTGACTTAGTCTGTCGACAGACAAAAAGCAATCGGCGCATAAAAACAATCTCCAGCAGACTCAATAAAGAACACACATCTCTCCAGAATGGTGCATTCCCAATCATTGACGTTGTTAGCATTTCAACAAGAAAGTTAACAATTAAACAATCAAAAATAAACAAACCTCCAGCAGCTATAGAAGAGCGTATTCCTCCTGCATTGTGTATACACAGAGCAACATCGTTTCCATTCCAACTGGTTTCCGAGGACGTTTGCTTCGAGATGAAATAATCTAGATAAGCATCCGCTATGAGGTTACCAAGGTTACATTCATGATACCTGAAATATATTATTTTGTTTACAAACCGCTCCATGAGTTTGACAGACGAGAGAATCCATTGTATAGGTTGAAGTCTGTTTATGTTTCATTCTTATTTTGTTGCTTGATTTTTAAGATAACATTCCGAAACATAAACAAGCTCTTGCACGTATTCCGAAAGGGAATTTCTATGAGAGGGAAGTGTACACGACCACCACTCATTTGTTCTGAACCAGTTTTTTCATTCGCTCACATTTTGTAATATTTTTGGTCTTTATCGTTTTTTACGCTCTTGTTTACACAGATTATGATTATTACGAATTTACACACATTGTGATAATTACGAGTTTACACACATTGTGATAATTACGAGTTTACACACATTATGATAATTACGAGTTTACACACATTGTGATAATTACGAGTTTGCACACATTATGATAATTACGAGTTTATACACAGATAATTACGAGTTTATACACATTATGATTATTACGAGTTGACACACATTGTGATAATTACGAGTTGACACACATTATGATAATTACAAGTTTACACACATTATGATAATTACGAGTAATACCTGCATGTTGGTTTCTCTCCATTTAAGAAGACGTTCGAGTATGTAATTGTGTCGTTCCTCAGAGAAGCTAGATTGTTTAAATATCCAAGCATCTCTTCTTGCATCTGAGGGTCTGCAAGAGAACATTTGAGACACTTAGTGTGACTACCATCGATTATGCTCGCCAACTCAGAATTTACTCGTCCAAACACAAGATAATTAAAAAACTATGAACTTTGATTCTTCCAATACATTTAGTGATCGACACATTCAAATATGAGATGAATGGGAAAAAGCTATACACAAAAAATACATCTGTGGAAAAACAACTTACGGGTATAGTATAGTTTGTTTTCGTTCAGTACAATTTTTACCCTGTATTGTGGACTTTAGCTCAAATCTTGCGTATTTTCTAAATATAATCATACAAACCCCTTGCTATTGACCCATTAAGGAGAATGGGGTTCCCATTGTATGATGTCACAACTCCGTTGTCATCAAACACCAGGTTTAAATATCCCAGATATTTCCCGTAATAATAGTCCTGGACTACTAAGGCCTGTGATCCCGAGTCCTGAGTTACAACTACGGGATAAGTGTCTTCTATTTTTTCAGGACCCTCAGTCAATAAAGGACCTAGAAAATATAAATTGAAAGTGTGGATCTATCGTGATATCAGTAGGTAGCCATGTTTGAATATTTTTCAAATTCATTAATTCATACATAGGACAAAAGTAACATATGTGTATTTAGCCGATAGGTGGCACAATCCACTAGATTGTTCTAGCTTATTCAATATCATTATTGGGTTAAAATTGAAAAAAAACATACCATTATATAGGAAATTATTCGTGTGCCCTCCAATTACCAAATCGACACCGGTAACCTGCTTGGCTATCTCCTTGTCTGTTTTATATCCAGAATGACCGAGTGCTATAATCTTGTTGATTCCCTGAGCTGTCAATCTGTCCACCTCTGCCTGAATTGTCGACACTTCATCCAAGAATTTCAGCTTTCCTAAATTAAAAAAAGTAATGTGACTTGTTCGCTGGAATAACTAAACAACATAAATTGTGATATATCGCACTTAAAATGGTACCTTGTAAAATATAAATTGCCCAGCATATGTCCAAAATCTAATATCAATGTTTTGTCATTGCTCTTGCATGTTATAACAGACGTGCAACTAAGCTTCTATTCACGAATGCAACCTTCGGCTATCGGCTACCGGATAAACACACAATTTTATGACCAACCCATTTAAATATGAATGGAATAGTGGCAGGTACTTTTCATATTTAAATGAGTTACCCATGAAATAGTAAGTTAATCCGATAGCCGACAGCCGAAAGTTGCATTCGCGAATATTGCTGTTGCTGAAAGTGAATGAAGTGTCTTTTATAATTGAATCTTTAGTAAATTCAATTCAAAAGTCATGCTGCTTACTTGGAACGCAATTTTTAAACTTGATATTTTCAGAAACATGATTTACGCGTTTCCAAGTTTTTTACAACCCTCGTAGAATTGAAGTTTATCGACATGTGATTAAGTTGTGCACTCAAAGTGTTGCAGACGGAATACCCGAATAAATCTATTCATATCATTTTTTATCTCTATATGAACTTATCTCTGTATTAGAACTTGCAATGGTGTGTTATAACACCTTGGAAATCGAAGATGGGGAATATACGAGTATAATTGATAAAATGTACATTAAAATGATTGATAGATGAACGACTTTATCTTCGGAATTAATCCAAGTGGATTATGTAGGATCGGGGGGAGGGTCTGTACTCTGTACTTAATTATTTTCTGAGTATTTCTGGTAATTGACAACGTTTTGTTGTAATATACGATGTTAATTACCAATAGTTGTGTTAATATTGAGAATCAAGGTTAATTTCGTTACAGTTTGACCCCTTCTCTCATGTTACGAAATTTAAAATTTTAAATCGTCTATCGTATACTAATATTCAAATTATCAACTATCTTCCGGAATCAAATCATCGTACATCATGTATATCCTCCTCCCCTTAACGAAATTAACTTCGTTCTTCGAATTCCACATCTGTTGTGGATAATTGGACACCATTACTAACGTTTATTGAATCAATTTTGTTGTTTGAAATGTGGTTATCTCTTATCAGATGCTTAGATTTCCCGGAAAATAAACACATCCTATGCTTAAAATATACAATGATATATCATTGGTTGCGATCTGAACCTTTTTTCTGTGATTTCAATGGAATATCCAAAATTGCGAAAATTATGACTTTGATTCAATCATAAAATCGCTATGAATATAAACAGCTTTGTTGTCCGTTAGGAGAGTTTATTTTTCCAAACTTTTGGAGGGTGGTGTTCAGGGCGTTTCATACGCTCACCATCAAACTCATGCAGATGTCTCAGCCATTTATGCTATACGTCACTATCAATCAATCAAAAAGTTATCAACAACGACCAAGTCTGAAAATTCATCCCACACTTATAGTTGCAATTTGAATATGACTTCACGCAGGGGTAGAGGTATTCTTCAATAGTAGATCTTGAATTCCGATCTAGAGTTTTAGTTTCATTTTGAATAAACTTAAGGATATTCTTCAAAATACAAAACATCTTCTTTGTATTTTTCATGAATAGTACATAGCCAGCGGTATTCTAAAATTTGAAAGGTTAAAACATTGTAACATTGCAACGATGAAAATACAGAGAATAGAGTTCTATTACTTAGAATAGATTTTGTCATGGGGCCATGTAATGGAGAAGGGGATTTTACGGGGGATTATACTAACGGAGGGGGTGTAGTTCTCACCAAATCTTTGAGACAGTGCAGGCATCTCAGATGTCAGATACCCTACTACTCCTATCTTTTCTCCAGCCACCGTCAAGACTGTGGACTTCTTCACGAGACCTTGGAATGTCGGTTCATCAGAGGCGTCTATGTTAGCAGCGAGGATAGGGAATGTGACGTTATTGATGAATGGGATCAAACCTTCAAGGTGGTTGTCAAATTCGTGATTCCCTAAAGCCTGTTGTAAGCGCAACGGGTCAATGGAAAATAAATATAATATCAAAAATGATCTAAAGAAAGTAGAAGGAAAGAGCTGATTTGACCAAAACATTAGTATTATGTACTGAGGGAGCATTTTAAAAGATCAATGTCAGAAAACTACTGTATTTGAACAGTTAGGGGGAGGGGGGATCATCAACCTTAAAAGTTAGCTTTCCGACATTACAAAAATTGACTGCATTATACGTATATTATGTTAAATATAGTGTGACCAATGAAATAACGCATTTCAACATTTCTCAAACACAGTTATGAGTGGTATGGAGTGGGATCACAGATTAACTGTTCAAATACAGTTCCAATATTGAACTTTTGAGATGCTCCCTAAGCTATATAAAAAGACGGACATGTAATTAGTGTTTCTTTATTTGCTATGTAAACGTATTTAGACATGTAATTATAACACAGTACACGCAATTATCAACCGAATCTCTGCTATAAACATACTGGATATATAAAGCGTATAATACAATCTTTAAATGATAATAACTTTTAACTCATTGAAAATATAATTAAAGATACAAATACAGAGTGGGTCAAAAACGTCCACTTTTTCATTTTGATATATAACTTTTTTGAAAATGAATGTATTTTAATGAAATTTTTGCAGGGTATAAAGAAATCGATTCTACAATTGTTCCGAAAGTCGGATAAATAAATATTCATTTTTTAATTAAAAGGGTTTAACAAACACAAGGGGTCTATTTGTAAAATTACAGATTTCATAATGTTATTTGAGGCAGTACTTTTACGCTGATATTAGACATGCCTCAAAGCATAATACCAGATTGACATAATTACGGTCCAAATGCTTTAATTTCTATTGGAAATATTATTTACAATTTTTTTAATTTAATTTATTTATTTAGTGTATACATAATACATAGCATGTCTCTCTGGCCAAATGTCTATCTGGAAATGTTATTTGAGGCATGAGTATTATTATTGTAAAATTGTAAATTGTCGCTTTGAATTTAATTTTTAAATCTGTATAGTTTTTCAAATAGACCCCTGATGTCTCTTTACGGAATACCTTCATTATTCAAAATTCCATTGTTTTTATTAATCCCACTTTATATCCTGTCAAAATTTAATAGAATCCATACATTTTCAAAAAGGTTATATCGAAATAAAAAAGGTGGACTTTTTTGGCCCACGTTGTAAAAAACAGGCAGTATCTTTCTGCAAGGATACTAAATGTAGCATGAATGACATAAAGATACGTTTGGGCTATAGAATGTGGTATTTATTTATAGACTAATACTGATCTGCTAATTCTAATTTCCAGAACAAATAATCCAAATAAACCCAAAACGAGTCTGTACATTTGTAAGGGGAATCTTCAGCAACGATTGAGAAACTTAAACGATTTTGGCATCATCTGGGGAAAATACGAACTGTACGTTTTATATTTCGAGAATCATGTTGAACCTTGATGACACCCCTTGAGTTAAAGTCCAGGGGGCACCACCGCGCCTGAAAATATGACTCGTAAAACTTAAACTTCGATTCATCGTCCGATCAGATGTTTTAATTCTATTTTCAGAAAATAAGGATTCTTACGGAATCATTGGTATGGAACGATTGCTTCTAATTTTACTCAATTTTTTCTTCCGTTTATTTTGTAAAGGAATACACAATGCAAATATCTCGAAAACTGATTAACAATTCTGCCTTTTTGAAGGTTAAATTTTGTCAAGAGGCGACATACGCAGATGATTGATTTTGCGGAGGGGGCCTCTCACTCACCCCCTACCCCAAGGTGGGTTAATAACTAGTTCAAAAATGGACCTAAATTTATGAAAATTATCTCAAATTGAGAGTTTTTCAAAGAACACCTTCACCTTTATCAACTTCCAGTTAATGGATAAATAATTCTAACTCGACACAATCAACACACCAAAATAAACATTAACCCAAAGTCCTGTTTATTTTGACATTGTAGTATATAAAAATGCCCTTCACAGGTTAATGTTAAATATACTGAAAGACATTTCCATGTTTAATAAACTTTTGAGTACTTTTCAAATATTAACCAAAACAACCATTTAACCTAGCACTTATGAATGTCCAAAGTGACAAATACATCAGTTTTAGAATTTGTCATACATTTACTTAATATTGTTCAATTTACACACGGACGTTATAAATAAAAAATGAAAGTTTGCAGTTGGCTATTTACTAACATTTGAAACATGAGCATAAAATATATATCGTGAAATTGTAAAGCAGGCAGAAAGGGAAAAATTCTCTTTAATTTGATATCTATACAATATCATTTCAATTACTAAAATTTAATATCAATGTAATGGCTTTTGAATTAACTCATAGAGTCAGTATACGCACAATACCCTTATAACATCTCATTATCAATAAAATACCATTTGAACTAATTGAATTAATATCAATACCCTTACTTAATATCAAGGTAATTTTTACTTTGACGGTAACAATAGACATACCATTGCATCATATTGCATATCATTCATGAACTGTGCTGTTGCAAGACCCTCGAAGGCGTAAAACCACACAGTACCCTGGAACTGATCACCCGCGTCAAGCAGCAACACGTTGTCATGACGATCACGTATCTCCGCAACGGCTGTGGCTCTTCTGGCCACACCCCCGAAGCATTTATTCGCCTCTTTATCCGAGTCTGAACATATTCCTCCATATTTGTTGAATTCTTCGATATGAGCGTGACAGTCATTTGTATGCAAAATTGTCAGTTCGAATCCTACCGTACACGTGCATATACATAGACATATCAAAAGATACAAGGTCAGCATGGTTTGATTCAACGTGAACCTACGAAATAAAATTTTTTCAGTTTGATTTCGCTTTAAAAAAGAACTTCAACTGTGAAGGAGCAATTATCTATCCTATATACAGCAGTCTCAAGGAATGTGTTGGCACAGCGAACTGGTAGCGGTATGCCTACTACTATTAGTGAAAATAGCGTCTTGTTCCTGTATGTATGTGCTTTTGTGATTAAAATCCGATACAGTTAAATGCATATGAATTTCTGATTTTAAGCTTAAGGTTCTTTCGGGAGCAATCGATCCTACTACTGTTCAATTGTTAACTTTTTCTCTCAGCTACACATTGTGAAATTTGTATGTTCAAATCTTTGCTTAAATTGTTTATTTTTCTGGTGCTATTTCAACAGTTCTTGTAAATGTTTATTTTACAGCGAATGTTGTCATAACACATCCGCCACTTTTGCATCGCTTTATAATATTTCAAGTTGAATAAAAACTATTGAAATAATCCATTTCAGAAATTGACAATTCACTTAACTCGGTAATTGATAGTTTTCCTAACTTTTCTCAACTAATTGATTGTGCAATGAATAACCAACACTCAGACTCTCGAATTCAACCGCCGGTTGTCGGCTGACATACTGATCTGCTTATTTATGGTCAACTCATTTAAATATGAATAGTACCTGCCGGTATTCCATTCATATTTAAATGAATTAGCCATAAAAAGTAGGAATTAAACCGTTAATTAGCTGGCGATTGGATTCGCGAGTGATACCTCATCTACATGATTGGTTACAAAGTGAGTTTACATTATATTTGGAATCAATAGATATATAAGAACACTTGTATTGGCAATTGCAACTAACGGCTATCGGCTACCAAATTAACCTACTTTTTATGGTCAACTCATTGAAATATAAATAGTACCTGCCACTATTCCATTAATATCTAAATGAGTTGGTCACAAAAAGCAGATAATCTTGTAGCCGTCAGCTGAAAGTTGCAGAATACAAGCTTAGACAGCAGGAAAAGACTAAAAACATGTTTAAACAAAAAATGGTGAACATATAAGCAAAATCAATGGAAGAGGGGAAACATTTTGACAAGACGAAACAAAAGTAAGGTGGCATTCGCGAAATCAACTTAGATGAGGAGGAGCACTAAATGAATGACAATTGGAATGAATACAAAATGACTATGTCACATACTAATGGCAAATTAAGGTTTTATAAACAAATTAAATTTTCATTTCATTATGAAAATTATCTTGACCATATTAAGAATAAAGATGCCCGCCGCAATTTAACATCGCTTAGAATTAGCAGTCACAAGCTTGAAGTCGAGGTGGGTAGATATAAAAGACCACCCGAACTCCCGAACTTCCACCCGAACTCAGAATTTGTAAACTATGTAAAAAGGCACAGGAGACCGAAGAACATTTTTTGCTCAAGTGTTATGAGCTCAAACATATCACAAATATATATTTAGACTTGCTTTATACCAAATGTCCTAATATCGGCTCGCTATCAGATATGGATTTACTAGCTTTCTTATTTAATGCTGAGGAGCAATATTGCAGCATCTTTTCTAACATGGTAAATGGATTATTCTCTATAAGGAGTACTTTGCTCAGTAGGTAGATTTCAGACAGACTCACCCAGTAACGACGTGGTCCAGTTACATATATATATATATTCATCTGTATTTATGTACTTTTCTACTTGTACGTTACTATGTCTATGTAAGTTTTTTTCTCTTCTTTTGTACATTTGCCCTTAAAGGGATTATTGGTACAATAAATAAAATATATTAATACATACAGATTCTATTAGACTAGCTAGGCCCAATACACAATTATCTACATAACACTGGTTTCAAACATGGTGGGTATGCTATTTTACTACGCACTTGTATTCCTGAACGCTTTCTCGACCTCCCTTCCTTACTTAAACATTACTATCGTAATCATTTGACATCATACGTTCACCAAAGAGGGAATATCTTCTTGAATGACCGATTAAAATATTCCATCATAATAATACGCCAATTACCTCAGTTTGCAACTATTCATACTTCAAATTACTGATATGAGCTATCTTAGTGTCAGTCATTAACCCTTGTACCTTCCTCCAAAATGTAATCCATCCTAAGTACGTGCGCATGCGCTCTAAGCTTTTCTGCCACTGGTTTCCCCAATCTTTCCCAATTATTGCTAAATTACCGCGATGGCTTTACGTATCATGTTTGTACTCGTAGACCATCATAATTGAAATTTTTGTTTTGCCATGGTCCGGGTTCGATTCCCGGTGTGGGAAATGCTATTTTGCTAAAATGCTAATCTTTCATTTCGGTTTTGTTTTGACTGATCTGTACGAATAGATATGCGATATGAAGCGGCTTAGCCAACTCCCATATGGTCTAGTGGTTAGGATCCGGCGCTCTCACCGCCGTGGCCCGGGTTCGATTCCCGGTGTGGGAACTGCTATTTTGCTAAAACGTTAATCTTTCATTCCAGTTTTGTTTTGGCTGATCTGTTACGAATAGATATGCGATATGAGGAAGTATAGCCAACTCCCATATGGTTTAGTGGTTAGGATACGGCGCTCTCACCGCCGTGGCCCGGGTTCGATTCCCGGTGTGGGAACTGCTCTTTTGCTAAAACGTTAATCTTTCATTCCGGTTTTGTTTTGGCTGATCTGTACGAATAGATATGCGATATGAGGCGGCATAGCCAACTCCCATATGGTCTAGTGGTTAGGATCCGGCGCTCTCACCGCCGTGGCCCGGGTTCGATTCCCGGTGTGGGAACTGCTATTTTGCTAAAACGTTAATCTTTCATTCCGGTTTTGTTTTGGCTGATCTGTACGAATAGATATGCGATATGAGGCGGCATAGCCAACTCCCATATGGTCTAGTGGTTAGGATCCGGCGCTCTCACCGCCGTGGCCCGGGTTCGATTCCCGGTGTGGGAACTGCTATTTTGCTAAAACGTTAATCTTTCATTCCGGTTTTGTTTTGACTGATATTGTAGGAATAGATATGCGATATGAGGCGGCGTAGCCAACTCCCATATGGTCTAGTGGTTAGGATCCGGCGCTCTCACCGCCGTGGCCCGGGTTCGATCCCCGGTGAGGGAACTGCTGTTTTGCTAAAACGTCTTTCACCATGTAATTTTTTCTGAAAAAATTGATATGCCATATCGTACGGGTTCGATTCCCGGTGTGGGAACTGCTGTTTTGCTAAAACGTCTTTCACCATGTAATTTTTTCTGAAAAATTGATATGCCATATCGTACCTACAGCAGTATACCATATGGTCTAGTGGTTAAACCCTGTGTACAGTATAAGACGAAGCTCTCTTTTAAGAAGTAAAGACGAACGAATATTAGGATCCAGCGCTATCACCACCGTCGCCTGGTTTCGATTCCCGGAATCAATGTTTTGCTAAAGTGCACAACTTTCATTTGATGAAACAAGTAACAACTCCAGATTGTGCGTTCAAATCACGTCAGGGTGAAAAAATGGTGTAAGTAGTTACTTTCTGAATACCATTGTAGCAAATTTTTGATGCATATCATTCCTTGTCATGTCTATTTTTCAAAAAATCCTCGCCGACGTGCATACTGTAATCCAGGAAAACGAAAGATTTTTACAATAAGGTATTATTTTTCTATTTTATGGTTACCATTTTTACTTTATAATTTGAGAGAATTTTAACACCTTTCCCCCATTTTTGCACTTTCACCAGCAGTTTGTAAGAAATCTTTTGGGGGATATTGTATTTGAGATGCCAAGGAATAGATTGGTATGTCAATTCTAAACGTTGGCTCAAATAATCTCACTCCCCATAGATCCGATTCTGTGAAAACGCGATCAAACTCTCAAACTCCTCATGATTATTTTCATATTTTGCGCTGCACGTGGTCCTTTGCTTGCTTATTTTTCAATAATGGCTGCTCTTATTTGCAATATATAATTATCCCCGAAATTAGTTATTTTTGGCAACCAAATTAAATCAATATAAAAAAACTTAATTTAGTTAATTAGACAGCAATATTCATTGAACAAAAGCTTACAAGCTTTATATCTGAATAAATGCGATATTTCAATCATAAAATATACTAAGTTGCAATTATGCACTCTATTTAATAAGCTATTCTTGTATATTTTAACAATATCTTATTCAGTCACCCTCAAAACACGAGTTCAGACAAACTAATTATGCTGCTATCATTTCTACATTTCAAGATATAGAAAACAATCAATATTTCAATAATAACCTCGCTAATTAGCCTATATTATTTTGTCCCCAAACTAACTTTTTGTCCAACCCAGCTAAATCTCTTCAGGAAACCCTTATCGTCATAAATTAACCAAAAAACATCGTGTTTTTAACAATTCATAGGTTCCCTATGGGATGCATAGGAGTGACAAATGGACTACAAGGATTATGCTGTTGATCAAAAATAATGTTTATCTAAACACCAGGGTAAATACCACTGCCTAGGTGTCATAATCTGATATCTGATGTTTCCCCTTGTGATACAATTGACTCCGTGGCGCAACGGTAACGCGTCTGACTCCAGATCAGAAGGTTGCGTGTTCAAATCACGTCGGGGTCAAGATATTTTAGTATTACGTTATAAATACAAATTTCCTTTTGGTCGATAGAGGGACGAATTGACAAACCGTATAAAACAGAAAACGGGAGCACACTGTTTCTTTATCCGGCGCGTAACTATCGGAAGATGTTAAAAGTAACCAACAATCTTACCATGGGCTTTCAACGATCTCTTGAAAACCCATGATCTTATTAACATGGCGGACGGAGAGTTCGTCCCTCAAGAGGAAACATTTAAATTGAGGAAAACGAGTTGATCATGAGTGTAATGTTTCCTTTTGAACAGGTTATATCGGGCCTGTTACATATCAATGATGGTGACGACTCGGACCTGTAACATATCAATGATGGTGACAAAGTTTTCGCCAACAAGGAATGTGCTGTGAATCTAACATATGGTACCGCTGCCTGTCATAATATAATATCTGACGTGCTTACGTATACAATTGGCTCCGTGGCGCAACGGTAGCGCGTCTGACTCCAGATCAGAAGGTTGCGTGTTCAAATCACGTCGGGGTCAACACATTTTAGTATTACGTTATAAATACAAATCTCTTTTTGATGTATTGAAGGGTATTGAATTCGAAGCTTTTGACGAATTGATAAACCGTATTATGACCACCTTGCAGGGCCTGTTCTAGGGGTTTTAGTACTAGTTGAGAAGGCATTTAAATTGCTATATTGACGTGAGCGATATTGTGTCGGGCATTAATGACTTTAGTCGGGCAATAATGACATTATCCGCCCGGCTATGTTTCCCGGGAAAAGTGATATCGTTCAGTGCGTAAGATTTTCTATTTCAAATTTGCTATTTCAGCCCTGGGCATTAACGGTGGTAATAATAGTAATAACGTTATTGTACTATCCACGGTCGGTAACGGGAACGTACTGCTATGGCTGGTACAAAGTTACATCGTAACGTATTGATCTTAGATTATGGATGCTGTACCCATTGTAGACTCTGGAGAATGTACCCATTAAACATTAAGGGCTAAACCCTCTAAGACTCTAGAGGCTGTGTCATCTTAGACCCATTTATTAATCACAGAGATGGATGTTATATGTGACTAAATGATGATTCCTGACATCTAGAAGATGTACAAACTTAGACTATGTAGACTATGGATAACATACCCATTGTAGACTCTGGAGGATGTACGATTAAAAATTAGAGGCTTAACCCTCTGAGACTGTAGAGGCTGTACCATATTAGACCCATTTATTAACCACAGATTGGTGTTATATGTGACAAAATGTCGATTTTTGACATCTTAGACTCTAGAATATGTACCAACTTAGACTTTGTAGGCAGTATGAATCTTAGATTATGGATGCTGTACCCATTGTAGACTATTGAGGATGTACCCATTAAACACTTAAGGCTAACCCCTCTAAGCCTCTAGAGGCTGTACCATCTTAGACTCTGGGAGACTATACCCATCATAGACTCTGGAGAGGCTGTACTATTTTAGACTCTTGGAGGCTTTACCCATCATAGACACTGCATCTGGAAAGTGTACCAACTTCTCTTGAAGGCTGTTCCCAGAACTTCTCAAAGGCTCTGGAGGCTATACCATCTCAGATATTTGCAGGCTTTACTATTGAAAGACTCTTGGAGTCTTTACCCATCTTATACTCTGATTTTCATACAAATCATAGACTGGTGGCTGTACCATCTTTGACTCTAGAGGCTGAATCCATATTGTACTCTGATGCTTCACCATATTAGTCTCTGGAGGATGAATTCATATTATACTCTGGAGGTTGTACCATATTAGACAGTAGACACTAGGCTGTGTCAATTTTTGATGATAGAGGCTGGACCATCTTAAACTCTTGGAAATGGAGGTTCTACCCATCATAGAAGAAGATGTACCCATTAGACTCTTGTGGCTGAAGCCATATTAGACTAATTGTTATACTCATAGACTAATAAACCGTTTTCTCATCTCTGGAGGCTGAACCTTCTCAGGGTCTGAAGGTTGTACCATCTTAGACTCTGGAAACTGATCCCATGTTATATATGGATGCTGCACCATCTGAGACTCGTGAAGACTGTACCCATCTTAGGCTCTGAATGCTATAGCAATCAGCCTCTGAAGGCTCTACCATCTCTGGAGACAGATCCCATGTTATATCTAGAGGCTGTATCATCTAAGGGTCTGGAGACTGTACCATCTTAGACTCATAGAGACTGTACCCACTACCCATCCCAGGCTCTGAATGTTATAGCAATCATAGATTTTGAATTTTGTAGAATCTTTGACTCTTGATGCTGAATACATGTTACACTCCCCAAACTAACTTTTTGTCCAACCCAGCTAAATCTCTTCAGGAAACCCTTATCGTCATAAATTAACCAAAAAACATCGTGTTTTTAACAATTCATAGGTTCCCTATGGGATGCATAGGAGCGACAAATGGTCTACAAGAATTGTGCTGTTGATCAAAAATAATGTTTATCTAAACACCAGGGTAAATACCACTGCCTGTCATAATGTGATATCTGACGTTTCATCTAGTGATACAATTGACTCCGTGGCGCAACGGTAGCGCGTCTGACTCCAGATCAGAAGGTTGCGTGTTCAAATCACGTCGTGGTCAAATTATTTTAGTATTGCGTTATCGATACAAATTTCCTTTTGGTGGATTGAGGGACGAATTGACAAACCGTATCAACAGTAGACAATGTGAGCACACTTGTTCTTTGTCCGGCGCGTAACTATCGTAAGATGTTAAAAGTAACCAACAATCTTACCATGGGCTTTCAACGATCTCTTGAAAGCCCATGATCTTACTAACATGGCGGACGTTCGTCCCTCAAGAGGAAAGATTTAATTTGTGAAAAACGAGTTGATCATGAGTGAATGTTTAATGTTTCCTTTTGAACAGGTTATCGGACCTGTTACATATCAATGATGGTGACGACTCGGACCTGTAACATATCAATGATGGTGATGACTCGGACCTGTAACATATCAATGATGGTGACTCGGGCTTGTAACATATCAATGATGGTGACTCGGGCCTGTAACATATCAATGATGGTGACGACTCGGACCTGTAACATATCAATGATGTTGACTCGGGCCTGTAACATATCAATGATGGTGACTCGGGTCTGTAACATATCAATGATGGTGACTCGGACCCGTAACATATCAATGATGGTGATTCGGGCCTGTAACATATCAATAATGGTGACTCGAGCCAGTAACATATCAATGATGGTGACTCGGGCCTGTAACATATCAATGATGGTGACAAAGTTTTCGTCAACAAGAAATGTGCTGTGAATCTAACATATGGTACCGCTTCCTGTTATAACATGATATCTGACGATCGTGCATCATCAATTGACTCCGTGGCGCAACGGTAGCGCGTCTGACTCCAGATCAGAAGGTTGCGTGTTCGAATCACGTCGGGGTCAAATAATTTTGGGAGTTACTTTCGACAATCATTTTTACAATTATCTTAAAAGTTAGGGATAAAATTTGAGTATTAGCTTTTATGATAAAATAGTAATTTATATAGGCCCGTGGCTATTATTTATCCTAAAAACCAATAAGAATGCAAATATCTAACTTAAACCCCACACACTCTTATGAAAGAAAAATGGTCCATGGTCCAATCTGGCAAATTTGATTGCTTTTGTATTGACAATTCAATTCACGGGTAGTATCCAAAGCCCCGCTATGATTTCAAAGTCGCGAGCAAGTTCCCGCTGAAATCGCGAGCATAGTCCTGTTTATTTGCATCACTTTGGAAAATGGACCAAAAGGGTGAAAATACTTATTACTGTTCTTCCATACTCCAACAATACTTTAAAAACAGATACATTTGACAAACAATGACATAAAAATGATTCTTCTTCACTGGCATTGAAAAGAGGGGCGTCAACATGCACGTTTGCATAATTTACTGTTCATATATTACTTTTATCGTTAAAACAAAGGCAATACATACGATTTACATACTCCATAATACATATTGGATCAATATTTTCTGTATTGATCAGTAACTGTGAAATTACGTCTGCCATGGGGGTCAAAATACATCATTAAAGGTGTTTCATTGGCCCCGCTGAAAACATGAGGAGGTCCCGCTTCGATCGCGAGAAAAGCTTCATTATTATTCCACGAAGATATTGAGTTTCTTTATATGAACGTACAAGAACGTGCCAATAACGTATTAATACCATTATAACATATCAATGGCAACATCGCAACTATTTCTTCTGCAACTTAAGGCAGTTTGATCCATCTGTCAGCGTCGTCATAAAATAAAATTCTTAAATGTGTAAACAGACTTTGTACTTTTGTACAGTTAAATGTAAATTCTATATAATTCTATGTTCCAAGGAATTTCTGAGGACACATACATGACATCGGCTTGTTTGTTCTTCTGACCGTCCATTCTTGGGTGCGTTCGTCTGACCGTTCGTTCGTTCGTGCATGCGTTCGTCCGACCGTACGTTCGTGTGTGCGTTCGTTCGAAATTCGTTCGCTCAGGCATGCGTTCGTCTGACCGTTTATTCGTTCGTTCGTTCGTGCATTCGTGCGATAGTCAAATCGTCCATTCGTGCTATCGTCAAATCGTCTGTTCGTGACAGCGCCCATCCAACCGTCCATCCGTGCGTTTGTTTGTCCCACCGTCAGTTCGGGTGTTCGTCCGTCCGATCGTTAGCGCGTGCGTGCGTTCGTCCGACCATCCATTCGTTCGAGTGTGCGTTCGTCCGACCGTTCGTTCGTTCGTGCGTGCGTTTGTTCTACCGGCCGTTCGTTCATGCATTCGTTCGACCGTTCGTTCGTGCGTGCATGCGTTCGTCCAATCGTCCGTTCGTGCTTGTTTTCGTCCGACTGTCCATTCATTCATGAGTGCGTCTATCTAAACGTCCTTTCGTCCGTGCGTGCGTTCTTTCGACCGTCCGTTCATGCGTGCGTTTGTCTGGTCGTTTTTGCGCGCGTTTGTCTAGCTGTCGGTTTGTGCGTTCAGACGTTACGTACGTTCGTCCGACCGTTCATTCATGTGTGCATTTAAACGTGCATGCGTTCGTTCGTGCGTGCGTCCGTGCGAGGGTTCGTTCGTTATATGTTGGTAAATACTTTTTGCATTTGTTCGTGCGTTCGTTCATTTCTGAAAAGGGAGGGAAAAAGTGTGTGAGTTAGTGGGCGGTTGAGTGAGTGAGTGAGTATCTAAGCTGGCAACAGGAGATTGAGACAAAAAATAGTATAACTGAACATTTTTCTGACTTAATCGTTTTAGCTTACGCATGAATCTTACCAAATATCGACTTGTATTCATATATGATGGAATTCTACTTACTTTTCAAACAGTTGAATTGATTAGATTTGATGCGTAAAATCAACAACATTTATGTTCACATTGTAATTATGAAAATGAGGTTAAACTTTTAACATTTTATCCGATCTAATTCTCATCACATTTTTCAGATGACCTATCTCATTCTGGAAAATGGCATCGAATATCATACTGCAGTTTTTCCATTACAACGTATCATAATATGTACTATATCAATACAGTATTTGCTGTTTTTGAGAATTGTATCAACAAATGATGTATTCATGAAACTGGGTACAATAGTGGATCAAGCTGGGTACGATAGTGGGAGATTTTCACGGTATAATCAGGATTTATTCCATTTTTGAGAGACACTTGCTCCTGTTTTCAGCGGGACCTCCTCATGTTTTCAGCGGGGCCTCCTCATGATTTCAGCGGGGTCTTTGTTTTTTTGCTCCGCTAGAAGCTGGGCCTTGAGAGATATGATAAAATTGAAATATAAAGTGTTCTGTAAAGCTTTAGGAAGTGAAACTCAGTACATTTTTATTTCAAATCACTACCATTATTTCAACCACAGGACAACGTCGTTCTTCACCTATAACGTATACAATATATATAGATAAAGATTCAAGATGATACTTTTCTCTCTTCAATTGTCAAATAAAGAACCATAGAACGGCCGCTCGTGATACTTTTTTCCATCAGTTGCCTTTTTAGTCTCAATACCATGTAATCTCATTGCGGAAAATTAAAAAGAAAACGTTTTGTACATCATACAATTCAAGTAAACAAAAGACAACCCACTTTTTTATTCCTCGCGATTTCAGCGGGAACTTGCTCGCGACTTTGAAATCATAGCGGGGCTTTGGATACTACCGGTGCAATTGGAGGTACTGTGAATAAGTTCAGCTTCAGTGCACTGCATGTAACGACCAGGTAGTGTTAGCACTTACTATTGGGGTCTGTGTAAACTACAACCAGACTCATAAACCGCATTTTTGAATGCCCGCGGTGGTGGTGCATTGCGTAACAGGTAATGAGATTTCCCACCAGGTATCAAGAAAAAGAACAAAAAGCCCTGTAGCGCAAATTACATGGTCGCATGTTTTCAACAACAAAACTCACCCGAGCGCACTAACACTCACACAATTTTGAAAGACATCACGGTTTATTGCAATCGAACTCCTGAGGTGCACTAGAAACAAGCCCAGGGATTATGGTCCCCTTTCATAACGGCCCTTACTGGACCTGATTGCGTATAAGATAATGAGGGAAAGAAATGTATTGAGGTCACCATATAAATCAATGGAGAGTAGGATCATAAATTGATACCTTTTACACCGACGTGGTTGACGCCACCATATGGAGATACCCGTTTAGAAGATAACAATTATATTATGAAGGTATAAACTACTAAATATATTTCTGTACTCCCTGAAATATTTACATGTACAGTACATAAGCTCAGAGTGAATAAGCTCAAGAGTATTAAGATTTGTGCATAGATACGTATATATCAGATTAGATAGTAAAATACTTAAAATCCCCATAAAAAGCGATTGATAAAACTGACGAGATTAGCATCATATGTGAGATACGATAGATTGTTACTATTGATACCACATAACTAGAAATCCATAGCTAACTAGTACTTGAACTGAAACACAAACTCAGCAAAAACGTAGGAAAGTCATCCCGGTGGTTATAATATTACACGTCCACGTATAATTTCTATAAAAACGTATAGTTTGACCTCTATATTTATATCTAAACTTTAGATCAATGTGAACACAAGCATAATGTGACATCGGGAGATTTTTAGCTGTTATACATTGTACGGGGAACCAAGAAGAATTCATCTCACTTTATCCCGTACTTAGTAGTGTTATATTATCAGTTATTACACGTTTCAGCATGTGATACGGGAAATATTCCACGGAAGTAAAAATTGTGTAACCACGAAAGCGCAAAAATTGAAATTTTGAAAAAAAAGTTTTGAAAAAATTGAAAAAAATGTTTTGAAAAATTAAAAAAATTTTTTTTTTTAAATTGAAAAAAAAATTGAAAATTAATTCGGAAAAAATTGAAAATAAAATTATAATAGGAATAAAAAAAATTTAAAAAAATCCTATGATTTTCTCGGCTATCATTTTTATCCACTCTTGGATATCGCCGATCTCCACTCATTCGCTGCGCTCACTCGTGGAGATGAGCGATATCCACTCACCGATAATATCCTATAGTCGGTTCAGGATATTGGGATTATCCCTTGGCCAATATAATATATTTTCCCTCGGGACCTGCGGCCCTCGGGCAAATATATTATATTAGCCTCGGGATAATCCCAATATCCTGAACCTCATATAGGATAATCTCTATGTATTTCCCTCGGATATACCCTGTATCAAAAACTTCCCATCAAATAACCTCTATATATCACACCCACACTCCAGTATCAGGTCAAACTCAATATCAAACTCAACAAAAATGGAAAAATTGAGATTGAGCGATTCATAGCTGAACTCGTACACTGTCCACTGGGACCGTCATTTACGACAATACGCTTATGCGAATTTGGGTACAGAGGCGATAGCTTCTTGATGTACGTGATGAAGACATCTGAATCCAGAATACCTGAAATTAAATTAAATTCGCACGTTTTTAATTTCGAAATGTTCGCAAAATAAACACGTTTAGTAATTTTAGCATCTAGTGGGGAATGCTTTCAAATCTAAAATTTAAAACAAGGGTTGTGTCAAAGTAAAGTGAGTACATAGTGGGTTGTTTAAATTTTGGTACACCATAGATCATAATTTAAACTAACCGATGAAACAACTACATAACGTTGTTTTCTCACCTAAGTTACGATGATCCAGTTTATTATCTCTTATAACAAAGTATCCATCACCGCCATTGGCAACATATGCTGGCATAATAACATTGTAGATTTTGTTGTCGTCAACTGGTTCCAACATGGGCTCCCTACACTCCGTACATAGCACTTCTAAGGTCTCCACGCGACTCCCAGGGGGTTTAGAGACGTCATATACAACGTGAAACCCTGAAACAAGTAGATATGGTATACCACTCTACTATACCTTCATTTGGTGTTCATGAGCAACCCATTTGGCTTATTAGTAATAATTATGTTATTTTTTTATTTGTCTGGTTCTTATTAATGGTTTATTGGTTGAAAGTTAGATGTTAATAAGGTACTTTCAATATACTAAACAATGCAATTAGACAAACGGAGTATCTTATGCATTTCTAGGGATTAGGTATAGTAGAGTGTATATACAGAGCACACTGTAAACTAGTAATGGTTTGGACATTCTGAATATCTGATAACCAGTATGCATCGCTTTCTGGTTTACCCCTCGTACTTTTTGTTTAATATTTTCGAGACATGTTTAATATGTCGAAAAAACCTACCCGAGACTTGTAAAAATTCAGCAGCAAACTCCGGGTACCTCCCCACTGAGTGTTCAAACGCTTGTCTCAGGATATTCCCTTTCAAAGCAACCATGTCGATGAGATTCTGAAATGGCATCACAGCGAGGACATTCTCCATTGTGACGTCTGCAAAAAGAGGTTAATAGTATCAAGGTCCTTGATAGTATTTTTTCACATTTGAAATGATTTAGGACATGTATCCATGGGTATTTACGTCATTAGAGAAAAAACAATAATTTTTCGGAAACACGTGGTTTCCAAGTTAAGATAACAAGATAAGAAAAAAAGTAATTTAATTTACTAAGTCCACATTTTTATTTCATAGTAATGCCGATATTCTGACATTGTGTAAGTGTAAAATAATAAATATCGAAATAAAAATAGCGTTCCATTACCGGGAATCGAACCCGGGCCGCCTGGGTGAAAGCCAGGAATCCTAACCACTAGACCATAATGGACTTGCTGACAACCATCTGCTACCTTTCGTTAATGTGTGGAAGATATCGATAAACCGTGGCGCGCGCCCACGTATGATATTTGGGCAAATGATCATACCCCAGAGTTTCCATGTCGGGTTTAGTTCAAATACCAAAGCATTACGTCAAATTATAAAGTAGTTTAATTCGATGAAAACTAAAAATATCGAGACCGACACTTTCCGTCCGCCATCTTTGTTGCGAAGGTGACGGCTGTTACCTTCGCTTGATACTGACCAGTGGCCGTGGTATATCACCATGTAAATTAAAACGCACCACCGGCATTTATAGAAGACCTGAGACCCCCAGAATTGTGGAAAGCCAGAGATACGTTGTTGCCATTCCAGTTGAGATCCGTTGGCTTTCGTTCTGCAATGAAGTAATCCACTAACGAATCGGCAAACAGGTTGCCTAGGTTACATTCTCTTATCCTGAAAAGAAATTAAATAGTATGAACATAAGCAGTGGCGTACACGGGGAAGGGGGGGGGCTCCTCTTAACATGCACCTAAACTGGGCAATATATTGAGATAACAATTTAACCATTGCTGGGCATTATTATTATGTTAAAACTTTGGGCCTAACTTTTAAGAAAATTTCAGAAATTTCTAGGCCCATTTCCTTTTGATTTCCAAGACCGTCCCTGGTATAAAGGTGTTCCACTATGGAGAAGTTGATGCTCGTCATCGTTGTGAAAAAAAACTATGATGTAATAATACGAATGATCACTCGATGGGTTCACATGGTGAAGTTTCGTTTTTTTCAAAAATCGAGACAATGGTGTACATCATTACCAACATACGAGAGTTGTCCCATAAGTCTTGAAAGTTTTATTCTAATTCATAGAACGAATATTTGAGATACAATGATAAAAACGTAGATATATTTCTACTATCTCTGTAAGTTTCATAAACATAATAAGATCATTTGGCAATGTGACAGATGGTTTAAAATGGAATGTTGGGCCGGTACCCGGGGCAGAAAACAGGATAAAAAATACAAATATGACGTTAACATTAAGGATTTGGGAACCCCTGGCTCAGCTCAACACGTTGCCTTTTCTGCTCCTCTGTCAGAATATGTGGAACGAATCTAGGGGCTACCTTTGACATCCCAAGGTCTTTCTTAATCACCCTGTGAGCAGTTCTCGATATCGGGCGATATTCCTACATTGGATTTTGACCTTCCACTTCTAGGAGCATCCTCGAGGCTGGTATCTCCAGTTTTTAACTTCTTCTGCCACCTCCATATTGTAGGGGTACTCAGAGTTTACTGTCGTTATACTTTTTCCATGGCTGTTCTTGTCTGTGTAGGTGTATGCCCTAAGGAGGCGTGGTATTGCACAACTGTACGCAAAGATTTAACATCTGGTGACAAAATCGCTGCCATTTTGATTTTCAAAATGCTGTGGCTCTGTACCAAAATTGAGCAATTGTGCTAGTTTATTTTGACATCACAGAGGTATTTCATAAGATTTTACTAAGAATACAGTGTTTTTGTCAATCTTGACAGGTGATTCACAATTTAAGATGCATACCATTCTTCAAAATCCATAATACTCCCATGGCTCCATTTTACATTTTTACTATATTTCATTACTGCCCCACCCCCCCCCCCCAACTCCCCCGGTTACCATAGCAACCGTAATAGTTACTCAAGTTCTTAATTTTGTTATTAAACTATCACATGTTGAAGATAAGTGATTGATACCAATACATACCAATTTTCAGCCAAATTAATTAAAATCTTTTTGAATTAGAATAAAAATTTCAAGACTTATGGGACAACCCTCGTAGACCCCATGAAAATGAATGGCAGTTTTCATTTTACGAAAATTGACGGTCAAACCAGGTCTAATGTCATCATTATCACATACATATTCCTACTTATCAATAGCACTGTTCCACAACTAGGTAGTTACTTTGACGGAACGTCAATGTAACAAAATGAATGAACTTCCTGGTTACGAGTTTTTTATTTTCTCGATTTAAACCTGCTTATAAGTCAAGTTGCAGATTATAATTTGACACAAAGCTAGAAAATATAATCTGGTTTTAATAAGTTACTTCGATTTGGAATTTGTTTTGTGAATGAAGTTGCAATTCATATATTTAGCCCCTCGCTTTTGTAACATTGACGAAAGTCCACTTTGACGACTTACGTCAATGTAACAAAAGCGATGGTCTAAATGCATGGATCACAGCTTTGTTTAAAAATCAAATTCCAAACCGAGAGGATTTCTAAAAGCTAGCTTGTCTAACTTTTTGCCAAATGATAATTCCACAACATGACTTATACGCTAGATTTTTACCTGCAGAGTGGCTTTTCGCCATTAAGGAAGACATTGGAATATGCTAGTTTGTTGGTCTTGATACTGTCAAGAATCTGCATGAATCCCTCCATTTCTCCCTGTACACCTGGATCTTTGAAATTCAAACATAAAACATAATATGGTATTTTATATCTTTCAAAAAATCAGAAATACTTATGGAAGTAAGTATAAGAGTTAAATCAATAATGATTTAAATTTACTCGAGTCTCTAGCCAATACTTGGCTAGAGGGGATTTCATCTGGAATACTGTGAACTCTATTTGAAAAAAAGCTGGCCGGGGTGTCATAAATTTATTGAATATTTTAAAAATCGCCAGAAAAATAAATCATTAATCAAACCGGACCCAGCTCGGCTCCTTATTGAGATAATACATGATTTCATCAGGATTTCGTCTAAAATTAAAACAAAATGGCTCCAAGAAAAATGGCGATGTTCGAAAACTGGACGAAATGTCGTTAACGTCTGACATTAGTAACTGGCTGTAAATTCTAAGTTAGCGATCCAGAAGATGTGAACTAATACACTGATCACTTTATGTGTGTTTTGGAATTTTTGGTTAGGTAAAAAGACCAAAACTCGCAATTCAAATTGTGATGTAGAAAAATGGCGGACATATGATTTCAAATTTTATGATTACGACATGACCAGTTGTTCATGCGGGAATATATCTGTACTGGAAGGCCACGATACAGTGGCCTTAGAAGAAGGTAAATTTAAATTAGCTGATTTTACCTTCTTCTAAGGCCACTGTATCGTGGCCTTCCAGTACAGATATATTCCTGCATGAACAACTGGTCATGTCGTAATCATAAAATTTGAAATCACATGTCCGCCATTTTTCCACATCACAATTTGAATTGCGAGTTTTGGTCTTATTACCTCACCAAAAAATCCAAAACACACATAAAGTGATCAGTGTATTAGTTCACATCTTCTGGATCGCTGACTTAGAATTTCCAGCCAGTTACTAATTAATGTCAGACGTTAACGACATTTCGTCCAGTTTTCGAACATCGCCATTTTTCTTGCAGACTGCTTGGAGCCATTTTGTTTTAATTTTAGACGAAATCCTGTCGAAATCATGTCATATCTCATCAAGGAGCCGGGCTGGGTCCGGTTTGATTAATGATTTATTTATCTGGCGATTTTTAAAATATTCAATTAATTTATGACACCCCGGCCAGCTTTTTTCAAATAGAGTTCACGTATTCCAGATGAAATCCCCTCTAGCCAAGTATCGGCTAGAGACTCAGTAAAGCTGATTAGAACAATTTTAATTGGCAAGAATTCTAATTCTAAAGATGATGGAGTAGACCACTTGTCCAGAATATTTATCAAAAAATAAAATGAACGCACTAACCTTTTGCAATTGATCCATTCAGCAAAATCGGATTTCCATTGTATGACGTCACAATACCTTCATCATTAAACTCAAGATTAAGATACCCGAGGTATTTTCCATAGAAATAATCCTGGACGACTAGCACCTCTTTACCAGATGCCTGGGTAATTACGACTGGGTAAGGGTCCTCAATAACTTCTGGTCCATCAGTTAACAATGGCCCTGCAAATGAATTTTCCCCAGATTTCATCACTGAGTCGATCGTCAAAGTTCGGCAACGACCGTAATTGGCCGAATTTAAAATAATTTTGGCGCCAATTTCTCTTCGTCTTTCCCGAGCAAAAGTGTTTGAACAGTCAAAATAATAGTCGGTTAAAACTTATTTTTCTTGTAAAATAATCATATCAATATCAGTGAATATATCGTATGAGTTATACGATATAGGCTCCATATCTTAGTCTGTTGAAAGCCCATGGTGAGAGATAAGAATTCCCATTGATAATTTATCATATGATTGTGTCAATATACTATATCTAGTAGCCTATGTAGGAAACACGGTATAGCAATATTTGAACCGTGGAACGTATTATTCTACGACCATAAGAACCAGTATAATATTTATGTAGAATCGATTTGAAATGCAAAAAAATGTAATATGAAGAGAAGAAAATTACCGTTAAATAGGAAATTATTCGTGTGCCCTCCTATTACCAAATCGACACCAGTAACCTGCTTGGCTATCTCTTTATCTGTTTTATATCCAGAATGACCGAGTGCTATAATCTTGTTGATTCCCTGAGCTGTCAATTTGTCGACCTCTGCTTGGATTGTCTCGATTTCGTCCAGGAATTTAAGCTTACCTTAATTAAAGAATGTACAAGGGATACATTTTTATTTTTTAATCAAATAAAATTTATAAGGCGTTAAATCTAGCGCGTTTGAGAGTTATATATACAATTGTCAAAGCTATACTAATTTGATAAACATGAAAGATGGCTATATGTTATTGGTAACATAACTACGGGACTTAAGAACATTTAAGATGTGAATATATCAGTTTATGCCTCAGCTAGCATTCGCGAACTCAACCGCCGGCTTTCGGCTGACGATTTGACCGATATTTTATGGCCAACTCATTTTAATATGAATTGTAGCAGGTAGTGGTACTATTCATATCTATATTGGTTGACAATGAAAAAGTAATCAAACCGTCAACTGACGGCCGGCAGTTGAACTCGCGCATGCTACTTTAGAAGTGCAGTCATTAATGTCGTTCCATTCTTAATTCCCCGTTCACTGGGGCTCAACGTGTTATACCGCCACTTTGTATGCCCAACAAGATGCATCGATGGCCTGCCTTCCGGTAATAAAATAATTGTTTTCTCTATTTAAATCCGCCATTTCGATTTTTGCGTTGACAGGTCATGTAATCAGACATATTCGCACTTATGATATACAGTAAAATTTATGTCGATTCGATTATCTCCTAAAATAAGCGTCTATCAGCTCGCCTGTTAGTTATCAATGTTTAGCCTTCAAATGTGAAGAAAGATCCAATCCACTTTGAGCGGAGATGCTAACGTGAGGTATATTAAAGTCACGTAACCATTGTTTGACTTAGACGTAGAAGCCTGCTGGAGTTTTACAAAATCAAGTATCCAACGTTCAAGATGTGTACGAATTTTAAGAAAATCCGGATCCGACGAGCGGCGGTTTCTGATATGGCGATGACAACATCTAAGATGGCCGTCCAAAAGTTAAGAAGCTCTAGATCACCATAGCCTCTGTTTACGTACGGGTTAAAAGAAAATTTGACATGCGTTTTTCATTGAATCCAGACGACAAGGTTTTTGGAAAAAGAAAACTTCTAAAATGGCTACAAGAATACAAGGGACGCTCAAAAAAATTGAACATCTCAAAAAATGTAGGCACCATCTAAGTGTTTCTATTTTTATGTTTGTTTAGCTTGGATGAAGAGCGTTTAATCAGTAAGGCCACTGCATGTAAATTGCCCGTTTACAGCATGGATTTTTTTCTTTTCCTCAAAAAATACAAGAAAATTGTCATTGTTATGCCGAAGAAATGCTAGAAAATCAATGTTATAAGAGCATGGTAGAGTCGAATCCGTTGAAATAAGCACAGCAGTATGTGCAGAATGAGACGATCCATGGAAGATGGGATATTATAGCAGGGGTCTATCGTGAAATAGCACTGTGGTGGAACTAACAGGGAAGATTGAACAGCCAATTAGTGTATGACCCCCCAGTAGAAGCTCCAGCCCCTTCCAGTGTGTGCCCGACTGCATTACGTTCACCGTCACCTATTCAAATTATGGGAGATCTCTAATATTTTATAACTTACCAAATCTTTGAGACAGTGCAGGCATTTGTGAAGTCAGATACCCTACTACTCCTATCTTCTCTCCAGCCACCGTCAAGACTGTGTACTTCTTCACGAGACCTTGGAATGTCGGTTCATCAGAGGCGTCAATGTTAGCAGCGAGGATGGGGAATGTGACGTTATTGATGAATGGGATCAAGCCTTCCAGATGGTTGTCAAATTCATGGTTTCCTAAAGCCTGGAATACACAGAGGAACAAAATTGAACGAGAAGCTTAAGCATCTACGCCATATATCGAGAGTGAGAGCTGTGTCATATGTGGAGTAAACAATGCCATATGTGGAGTGAATTATGCCAAGTGTTAAGTAAACAATGCCATATGTGGAGTAAACAATGCCATACATGGAGTAAACAATGTCATATGTGGAGTGAGCAATGCCATATGTGGAGTAAACAATGTCATGTGTGGAGTAAACAATGTCATATGTGGAGTGAATTATGCCATGTGTGGAGTAAACAATGTCATATGTGGAGTGAATTATGCCATGTGTAAAGTAAACAATGCCATATGTGGAGTAAACAATGCCATATATGGAGAAAACAATGTCATATATGGAGTAAACAATGTCATATGTGGAGTAAACAATCCCATTTATGGAGTAAACAATGTCATTGATGGAGTAATCTTTGCCACTTTAATGAATAAAACCAACCAAGTCAATATAACACAAAATGTAATTATATCTTTACTCTATAAATAAACAATGGGGACTTTAAGCAATACGTATAAAATCGAAACGTCAACCTGTACGCAAAAGTTGCCAACAAATGCATGTAGTTTTCTCACATAAATAATCGTTCAGTTACAGTGTTTACATAGACTACACATCATCGTTTAATATGCCATTGATAGTTATATAGCTAGTTTTCTATGAAACATATTTTAAACAAGCTCATTTCGTAAGATATTTGGAGCTAAAACATGTATGACATACATCTTTTTTTCAGAAAGCATTATACTGTGCATCGAAATCAAAATTGCCGGCATAGTATTCAACAGACATGGGTATAATGATTCCCATTGACACCAACGTGAAATTGCAAATCTCTCGTTCTGAACACAGCTCTGAAGCTGATCGGGGACCTAAAGTAGACTAAGTAGCACTTGTTTTGTATGCGCGATATATACATTGGCGGCTTTGCGTTCACGGTTACGTTGTGAAAAATATCGCAAGCTTAAACTCTCTATTATAGGAATTCGGAATTATCGGAATTCATAATTCCATCACTCTTCATAAATCCTTGACACAACCAAACAATTCTAGATATATGAGCAACGGTGTAGAAATAAATCTGGTTATTACATTACGGGCAGCATGTGAAGAATCCAATCGGAATTCATAATAACTCATGACTCTAATAAAATCCTTGACACCTTTGACACAACCCCTTGTATCTTGTTCGAGAATCTTAAACTCGGAATTTGCCTCTTAAAAAGAGGTCAATGATGCAATTATTTATTCTTGTCAGACAAGAAAGGGCAATTTGGAGAGTCTCTCATTGCAAGTGTATATTAAAGTCCCCGTCTAAAGTTTGAAAATATTTTTTTATCATTCATTTACTATTTGTCAGGACTTAAAAAGTGATTTTAGAGATTTTTGAACAAAAAATTTTTTTTGAAAAAAAAGTTGTGAGCATTTCATTTCTCAAATATTCAAATTTCCCGCCATTTTTCAAAAAAAGTTGAAATTTCTTAATCATCAAATATTTCTTAATGCATTTCAAAAAAGATTATATTTTCAACACCAATGCAAAGATTGAACAAAAGACACACTATTTCAATAATAAAATGTCATATTTAATGGGCCACTTCAATGTTTTAGTTTATCAAAAATATTTTGAAACATTAGTGATGTCACTAAGGTAACAAAAACGTTTTGAAAAAAATTGAATTTTTTTTTTCGATGTCAATCTTTTCTAAATATGCTAGACTTTCATAAGAAACCAATGTTGATTGTCTAACAGGTTAAAAGGAAGAATAAATTATGTTTTAGATATCATTGTACCATTGGTTTCTATGAGAACTAAAATTTTGAAATGCATTTTCTCAGAACCATTTTCATGCACTGATAAGTTCATTTCTCGCTTGTTTATCAACCGATTTTCTTAATTTTTTCGGCAAAAAACATGGGAGGATGTATGCTATGCATTGGTATGAATTGTGGCTAATTAGAAGATATGAGTGACCTCTAAAAGTTGGTTTTAAATAATTTCACAAATTTTGGAACAAAAAGTCTATCAAAAACCACTTTTTGAAATTAAAAAAAAAAGTTTCACATATCACACTTTGATAACATTGGGTAAGACTACAATATAAGCCAAAGTGGTTTAAATTTTACATGGGGCCTTTAACGAAGTTAACCCAACAGGCCCATAGCCAGGGGTGGGTGGAGGGTTCGCAGGCTTGGGCGAACCCCTCCCCCCCCCTGGCCAAAAATTCTTTCAAAATCATGCAGTTTTTCACCATTTTGAGCACTTCTCCAGTGATTTTAGCCATATCTGGGCCAAAATTGTCAAATTTCAACCCCCTGGAAATTTTTGAAAATGAAACTTTTTGGCTTTAAGATTAAGGTGATAGGGGCAGACGGGCAATGTTATGATAGTCGGAAGTTGATGCCAATAAAAGTGAACTCGTGAAATATTGATATAGTTACCTTGTTTCTCATACTGTAAAAGATACAGTGGTCATTTTGCTCTGTTTGATAGATAATCATTTAGGGGTTCCTCTCTCCAATGATCTTCAATTCATGAAAATCAAGCCACTATGACTGCTTGACTATCTTATGAATTTTCAAAGATAAAATACAGTTAATCGCCAAATATTCGTGAATCAGGTTCTCTTCACGAATGTGAGAGGCAAACTTTTTTTTTTCAAAAACTACTTAATGAATATCTCTGAGTTTGTTTGCATGTTACTGCAAACTATGGTATCAGAATCATAATGATACCCACAAAGGAGGAGGGAAAGCAGGGGCGTAGCCAGCTTTCAGTCAGGGGGGGGGGGGGGTGCGATCGCCAAAAAGATTTCGGTTTTCAGTCAGGGGTGGTGTGATCGTTGCAAAAAAAAAGATTCAAATTTGTTTTGAATTTTACAAAAAATTGATGCAACTTCGTTCAAAATTGAGCTTGAAGCTTCAAATAAAAGCATTTTGAAGCTTTTTTCTTCCCCTATCTTATGATTATATTTTTTATTGGTTATGGCGGGGGGGGGGCGATCGCACCATCGCACCCCCTCCTGGCTACGCCTATGGAAAGTATCGCAACATATTTCGGACAGTCATGTGTTGGATTTTGGCTATTCTCTAAGGATTTAAACAGGTGCATATCTTAGACCAATGTATTACCTCCAGGAAAGGCACTGCTAGAGGTGATAAAATAATTTTAACATTGAGACAGGGAACAACCCTCCCACTTTAAAGGAAAATGTATCACAAACTGTCTCTGTGAGTCTCGTTATTTGAGAATAGATTCAAATATGGTACTTTATAGCTCAGATTTTCAAATAACGAGACCCAGAAACAGTGAGTGATCATTGGAGCGGTTGCTTTTTAAGCCCCGCCCCTCCTCTAACTTGAACACCCCTAGGTAGAATAAATGGTTTTCACAAAATATTTTGCAAAGATTCAAAATGGCCACTACGTTTATTGTAAAAAATACACAACATACATACATTTACTTATTAGTGTTCTTGTGGAATTCCTCTGCTCCAACTTCATTTTGGAAAATGGTATTATGTTTTCAATTTTAGCTTACCAGGTGCCGGAACAAAATAACTATATCAGCCTTTGATAAGCAAAAAATAATGATTTTAGCTCCTAATGGTAAATAATAAAAACAATATTGAAACCTTCCCATGTAAGCCCAGTACCAATGGTCCTATTTTTAATCATTAAACTTGATTTAAAGCCCCCCTCACATATGAACGAAAACCCCTTTACGTCAACTTGCGTATATAGTCAGAAACCCATGCCTCTCTATCGTTTCAAAAAATTTACCCAACGTATCGGTCTCTGTTAATTTATGGCATCTATACTTTTTTGAAAGGTAACACTTTGAGGCTCAATTTTTTGCCGGATGCCCTCGCAAACTCTCATTGGTTGCTCTGTATTGTAGCATTCCGTTACCATGGTTACGCTTCTATTGACATCTTACCTTGGAATCTTAAATCATTTGTAACTTTGTCATTATTTGGTCTATAGAGATGATATTGGTATCAAATTAAACCTACTTAAATTTCCCATAAGATAATGATATTCAATTATGCAAATTAGCTCATTTGCATAAATTGTGACGTCATCAATCAATTTTTGATTCAGAATTTTCAAGTATAGCAACGTATCTATTAGAACTGAGGCCGTATGTCAGAATTTCTGCAAAGTTTGGTCCTTTAGACTATAAGAAGAAGGTATAAGCAACATAAAAGTGAAAACAGATTCAAAATTGGATCAGTATTACCAAAGCTATTAAACTTTCGAGGCAGCTACTGTGAATGTCATTATTTGACAATTATATTCAGACATCTTACCATGGATGTTTAAAATGTTTGTAGCTTTGTCATTATTTGGTCTATAGAAATGATATTGGTATCAAATTAAACCTTATTTCCTGTATGATTACAATATTCAATTATGCAAATTAGCTAATTTGCATAAATTGTGATGTCATCAATCAATTTTTGTTCAGAATATCCCAGTTTAGCAACATATATATTAGAACTTAGGCTGTATGACAGAATGTGTGCATAGTTTTGACCTTTATTTGATGAGTGGAAGATATAGGCAACATTCAAGAGACAACAGATTCAGAATTGGATCAGAATTAGCAAAGTTATTCAGCTTTTTGGGCAGCTACTGTGAACGTCATTGTTTTACAATTATAAAAAATATTACAATAACGAAAAAAAGAAACAAACATAGTTGTTTCAATCTTATTGAGTAAAAATGTACATGACTTGTTCATATTTTTCCATTGAACTGAACATGTAAGTATGTGGATATGTTATATGTATTTTGACTATCATTCACAGGGGTCAAAATCGTGTGATCTTGATCCTGTATTTCAAAATCCAATTTTATAATTCACCATATACTGTCAATGATCCATATGATCCTTTAATTATGCTTTTTTGACATATGTTGACAAATATACATATCAATATTTACAAAATTTATATGGAGG